GATTCATTTTAGGTTTTATGTTTTACATTTTAATTCAGATTTGATGCTTAGTTTAGGAATATCTCTTGATTGTTAATGCATTCTTTTAGACTTAGGTTTTGCGTCTGTTCTGCATTTCTATTTCAAAGATTGTCTTTCCTTATTTTTTTTAGCATTTGAGTTCTGTTTAGATTGTATAATATTTATGTTTTAGTTGTAGGTAGTTATAGTAAATAGGTTTTATTTCTGTTTTGAGTAGTTTAGACTATTATTTTCTTTTCTTTTATTGCATTTCAATTTCTTTATTCTTTTAAATAGATTTTAGTTTAGACTAGTTTCAATTCTTTTATTTTAGTTTCATTCATTTTAAATGTCCCCACCCAGTTTAATAATAAATAATTAGTAAATAAATACAAGATCTAACTCTACACTTTAATCTTAACTTTGTTGAGTCTTAAGATTGATATTTTGTTCATCCCTATGCTACATTAGTGGGGACCAGACTTTGTTCTGCCTTAGGCAACTAAAAGACAGTTTAACAACAAGTTCTGCAATATGAACCAAAATACTTCAAAGTGAGTTTAAATCTTTACAGGATGTCTTCCTAAAGTGCAATTGGGACTTGTTTCATCCAAATCAATGTGCATCTGTCTATTATTGTGAGTCTTGCCTATGTTTTTAGTTCCATTCTTTAACTTCTTTGCATTTGCTAGATTTACTGTAATGTGTTTTAGCTTAGGTAATTATCTTTTATTATTTTGAACATTTCCTATTAGATAAAGTTTTATTTCTATTTACATTTCAATTTTCAAGTTTCTTTACTATTTGTTTGATTTGGTTAATAATTAGATTTCTCAATTGTACTATGCATTTCTAGTGTCTTTGTAAATCAGTAGATCATATTAGCTATAAAAATTAGATTTTTTTTTTGTTTTAGGTAGTTTAGAATAATAATTTCTTTTATTTCATTTCATTTCATTTTAATTTTCTTTCTATCTTTTAAACAGATTTTCTTTTTAGTTTCATTTCTTTCAATTTCATTTCTTTCAATTTATTTCTTTGTCCCCACCTAGTTCGTAGTAATAGTAAATAAAATAAAAAGCAAGATTAACTCTACATTTTAAACTTAATTGTACCGAGTCCTAGGATTGATATTTTGGTCAACCCTTTACTACATTAGTGGGGACCAAATTTGTTATGCTTTAGGCAACTAAAAAGCAGTTTAACAAATGTCGTCATTGTCGGGGACTCGGCGAATTGAGTTTTAGAGTGTTAGGTTAGTCTTGTTAGCTTTAATTTTTTTAGTAGTCTGTGTGTTTAGTTTCTGTGCATTTAGTTGTTGTTTTTGGAAACTTTAAAATCTGTAAATAGTGGTTCTCCTTCATATTATGCTTTTATGTGTTCGGTATAATCTTTGCTTGAAGTGAAATCCATGTTTAGACAAGTTCTGTACAAGATCAGGAGATGGCAAATTCACAGGATTGGCTGTACAAGCTTATCAAAAGGCTGCCTAAGTATGGAGTGGCTGGAGAAGATCCATACAAGCACCAAAAGGAGTTTTAAGTGGTCTGCTCCATGTTTAAACCAACAGAAGTCCCTAAAGATTGGGCCAAGTTGAAGACATTTCCCTTCTCTTTAGGGGATGTAACTAAAGACTGTTCTACTACAAGACCTATTCAGCATCATTCACTACTTGGGCTGAGATGTAGAGAAGCTTTCTGGAGAAGTTCTTCCCAGCCTCAACAACAGTCTCCAAACGGAGGGAAATTAGCTCCATTGTACAGCTGCAAGGAGAGACATTGAGGGAGTGTTGAGACAAATTCAACCAACTATGTGCTTCATGTCCAGATCATCAAATCGGTGAGCACTTGCTCATCTTGCACTTCATTGATGGATTGAGCATGAAAGAAAGATTTTTTGTGGATGTTGCAGCTGGAGGATCCCTGATGGATAAGACAATTTCTGAAGCCAGGTCCTTATTAGCCAACTTGAGTGGTTGTCCTGATGAAGCCACTAATACTGTTGAGAACACAAGTTCTGGTTTGCAACCTGAGTAGGTTTATTCTGAAATTGACATTCCTATACATGTCTCTGAGGTTCAAATGGATTTTGATGCGTTTGATGTGTTAAAGATTGATAGCCAAATGGGACGACCTAACGGGCCAAACTCAACCTTCATATCAAGGAGGATTTGATGATCCAAATCGTTCGATTCTCCATATTTTGGGATACATGAATACTAATACACCACGTGTCGTCATCCCAGCGGTTATAACCTCCTTTCAACTATCACTTGCGATTGGTCACGAAAGGATTAAGCATCCTTAAATGCACCCAACATAGCTTTTACATAGACCCTTTTACCTATCACGATATGCTCGGGCTTGGGAGATCTATGTATCATATAACCGTTTAGTCAACCTTGGACCATACGATCTTGATGGTTAGTTGTGCCACAAACAAGACCATGATGGTCATCCCCAAGATCGAACGACTGTATCCTACAAATCAAGCAATCACCCTTCAGAATGATTAAACCTAATGTTGATTAGCTTACAACAAAACATGATTATTACCAATTGAGTCACGATTAAGCCGTCAGTAATCCGAAATCCATTCTGAAATACAAGTTTGAGGTAAGGAGGTAGGTGATAATATTTAATACGCATTAATTGCTAAAACTGCTGAATCTTTTTACTAACTTTGGCATCGGACTACCTTCAATAGGTAATCTCTTATTTTGTCCGAATGGGATTCTAAAACAAACGATGACAAAGATAATCGTTCAGACTTTTAAGACATTTGTGACATAGTAAACCGTTAACCTCAACCCCACAACCGAAATAATTAATTTTGTTGGTGTTGTTATAATATTATTATTATTATTATTTTAATAATAAGAGTTAATTATATTTTGTATTCCTATCCTTTTGAAATTAATGGAATTGATCCTAATATCCAATGATGTTAGTGTATCTTTTTATGTGACACATAGAATGCCACAACACTCCCTTTTGACACGTAAAACATAAAAAGTAAAAGGGTTAAATATGTTTTTAGTCCCTAAACTATTGGCCGTTTCTGGTTTTCGTCCCTCTTTCAAAGTAAGATACAATTTGGTCCTCATTCTTTTCGAAAACGTTCGTTTAGTCCTCGAAAACTAAACCCTGTTTAAAAATTTGGTACGTTCGTTTTAGTCCTCTAAAACTAAACACTGTTTAAAAATTTGGTCCTCATTTAGAAAAAAATGAGGACTAAAACCAAAATTTTGAGGACTAAAACGAACGTTTCGAAAAGAATGAGGACCAAATTGTACCTTACTTTGAAAGAGGGACGAAAACCAGAAACAACCAATAGTTTAGGGACTAAAAACATATTTAAGCCAAAGTAAAACATAATTTTTTTATACATGTATAAAAAAAATTGCAATTATTATCTTCACTTCAATCATCACCCACCTCCAACTCTATCCATTATCCAACATGGAACATTTTTTCTTAATTAATCCACCAACAACATTTAACACCTTTATTTAGATGGTTGTCAAAGCCATTTCTAAAATCTTTTAACACTCTCCATTAAAACAAAAATCACAAGGAAAAACGAAATTTAGAAGAGAAATTAAAACAAAAATCACTAGGAAAAAAAATATAGTTAATTCTTATTATAACATTAAAATTTTACTATACACACACACAAAAGTATAAAAAATAAAAGAATTTTTTATATAAAAAATACTTTTCAGAACATTTATTTCAAAAAATAAAAGTATATCTTACAGAAAGCCCTTCTAAATCTGACTGAAAGCACCTCTTCCAGAAAATAAAAAGATATTATGACATTCAATCCAAAATATATAAAAAAATATATTTTCCAAATTTGAAAATATATTCTACAACACTCATTTGGAAATATGTAAAAGAAGATGTAGAGACTTAATTCCAAATATATGTATAATTTTATTCTCCTTTCCACCTCTCCTCTATCTTATTCCCTAATACCTAATTTTGTTCTCCAATGCCTTCTATCAAGAAGAATGGAGGATGAGGAAGATCATGGTGTTTTTGGGTGGTAATGGAATTGTTAAAATTGATAGTGATGGAGAGGTCGAAGAAGGAAGAAGTTGAAGATGCTATATGGAAGACGCCTCCGAATACCTACCCCGATGGCAACCTCACAACCGTAGAGTATAGTGGCCAGACACATGTTTTATCAACCTTATGAAGGTGTAAGAAGAAAAAAAGTACATGCAAAAGCAGTTTCTCTCTTTATATATATATATATATATATATATATATCAAACTTTACTAAAATTCATATCCTATAAAGTGTAACCAAAAGAGAATTTTCCTCTCCCAGGTCCTATGAAAAGATGGTGAAAAATCTTCAGGAGCCCAGAAAAGGCTACTTTAAAATTTTATAAAACAAACGGAAATTTTCAGTATAAAGTATCTTTGATATTACGATATTTTGTTTTATCATATTTTTCTTCAAATAAACAAGATTTTCTTCCATCAAATTAAACACCTTAAAGTGACTGCTCAAAAGAGTGTTTGTTTTAAAGCATAGATGCACTTTCCGTAGTGCATCTATGCTTCGTACACATACAACACAGACTTTAAATGTTATACACCAGATATTCTTTACAATTTTATCAGCATCTCAAAAAATATTAATGATGCTTTTTCTTACTGAAATTTTTAAAAATTGTTTATATCCAAATCAAATTAATAAATATTTATACCACTAGAAAAATCATTGCAAAAAAATTATGTTAATCACTTGATGAAAAGGAACTTTTTAATAACTGATTTCTACTTCTCTCTTTTTCTATATACCAAATTCCAAAATCTAAGAATTCACTTCAAGCTCTAACTTTAATGTTTTAAGAACTAAATTATCAACTATTTTAAAATTCAATCACTTTTAACGTACAAAGGACCAGGTATTCAAGAAAATTCAAGATTTTAAGAATTACTGTTTTTATGTAGGATAAATCACTTCTAACCTGAACTAGAAAAGAAAATTCAAGAATCGATATTATTATTTTGCATTTAACAATGCGAGAAACTTCAGCATCTACAGATTTTAAGGTACTATGTTTATGTAGGATTACCAAATCAATCATATTTGGCTTGGTTTTGGGGCTGCGAAAAAAATTCCTTTGCTTTATGAGCTACCTCTGCCTCCAAAATTGCTTCTAGAACTATGTCAGATCCTTTCACATCAGCTGTTAATGAAACAAAAACAAAAGAAGTTTCGTATCAGGTATCGTTCTAAAACAAACAGATTCCCGTCAAACATGGACAGACAAGACAAAAAGCTATCAGGCATTCATAAAGAAGAAAAAGGAAAAATAATTTGCAAATTTCGCAATGAAAGAAATAACATTTTTTATAATATCCTAGCCTATGCCAAATGTGCCATAGTATAAAAATGAATGAAGCTCGGCAAACAGTCTTTACTTCCGAGTCTTCGAGCTAACTAAATACAGTTCAAATGAAAAAAGTCTGCAGATTAACTAATCTTATCTGAAAACACCACTGGGTGTGTAATGGGTAAAAAGAAGCCAAATGTTTTAGTGCCTTTACATATGCATGTATGGCATACATTGATAGGAATCACAAAACAATATCACATGACCAATGATCACACTATATAGCACACAAACTGTACCGAGTAAAAAGTTGTAATTGTCCAACTCATAAGAAAATCTTGATAAGCAAAGCCAAAAAAACAAAAAGTATCATACCCCCACGATTTGGTAATAGTCCAGCATTTTCAGCGGATATGGGTAAGACAGTAAGCTGCAGTTTGTCATCTATCTTCTCCAGTTCAGGACTAATTGCTGACAACTCATTCTTTATGGAAGGGGACTCTGCAAATCTGGCGTAAATGGTTGCTTGATTTTGCATATTGCATGAATTAGAAGACACAGAAGTTGAGTCCTGGAAATATATATAGGCATGTAAGCACACTCAATTCCTATACTAGTATATACTTGTCTCATTTTGTGGGTTAGGTTCATAAACCTTGATAACAGTGGGATTCGGGTGATTCTCTCCAGAATCTTCTGGTTTCTTACAGTCTATATTATCCAAAAAAGATAACAGTATTAAACAAAATCTCTACACTGCATCTGTAAACGATAATAAAACTGTTACACCTCAAAACAAGGTAGTAAACAATACCATTTGGGATAGATGTCTGGTCAGGATTGTCAGCAAATCTTCGTGTCAAAGGGCCAGGATTTATGATTGATATGCTTCGAATTTCATGACGAATAGCATCTAGCTGAGCCATTGTGTCTTGCAGTTCCTTATGAACCTAAGACAAAATAGGCCAATACAATAAAAAGTAGTTTGTCAACAGAACCAAGTGTTACCAATGGACAAAGATTCCCCTATGAAGCATAAATATTTCACTAACTTTTATGTTCATATTTGACATTATTGTCCAAGAAATTCAAAGTAAACCACATGTTAAGATTCTACAATGCAAAATTATCTTTTCTCCAATTAAGCATCATAAGACATTTTCTGACATTTTGTGTACACGTATTAGTTATTGCTTATAAAAGAAAATATAAGACATTTACAACCCTAAATATTATGACTTGGTGTGTGTTTAGTTTTCTTTAGGGAAAGTGCTTAACGATATTTACCTCAAGGCAACTAGTTATTGCCTTCATGCAACAAAACGCACAGAATCTATAAAACTCCAAAGAAACTTATTCCTGCAGGTTTTATAATACTGCTGGTAACTTGGAAAATGGGAATACCTGGCGAGCCTGGGATTGCTGCATAACATTTTCAAACTGACCACGAGCCAATTGTACATATCCAATAGCTCTACCAGCAAGTCTCCCTGCTGTTCTGGATATGATTGGTAAATCCTTTGGACCTATCGCACATAACAATTCACATTTGTACTAAAAATAATATAAAATTTTGCATATGATAAACAGATGTAACAATAGCATGACCCAACCTATCAGAGCAGCAGTGGCTCCAAGCAACAGAAATATTTCTCCATATGAAAAGCCCAGCATTTCTCACTGTCTTTTTGAAGAAAAATCGAATTCATTTGAAACCCTAAAGAGTTCAATAAAATGGCAAATCGGAAATTATAGTCGAATTGCTAACTAACCTGAAAGCATAAATTGAAAAGAATAGAATTAGCATGACATTGTTACAGTTTCAGTGCTTCCTACAAGAGAGTTAGCTGATGAATGAACATTGGTAAAACAAAAGGGAGAAGAAGAAACGCCTTGGGAAATTGATTTGTTTTCCAAGCAGAATAGCAAATCTGGGAACTAAACAGCCCACCAGATAAATTGGAATCTGTTTCATGCCTTTGCTATTTACACTCCATACTTGCTACATTCACTTTACCCTTCCATCTATGAAATTACATTATTAGACATTAATTTTTTCCCTCATTTCAAATAGTCTTCTTCACACACCTTTATTTACCATTTCCTTTATACTACATGTTCAGGAGTTTGTGATGGTTGAGTGTATTAGCTTCAGTGTTACCACCATCTCCAACTGTATGAGCAGGATTGGTTGTATTTGGAGAACGACGAATGGATGCTTTAGAAGAAAATTGTAGACCAGACTGTGCCATCACTAAATAATGAAGATGCCTAAGTAAAAAATTAGCATGAATATGTGTTCATCATTGTCAAATTTTTATGATGCAAGTTGTTTTATATCTATCACTAAAATGGCGATCAGTAATCATCTTTAAATTTACTGAAAATAGTTAGTTACTGAAAAAGAGACAAGGAAATAAGTTATTAATGGAATGACTTAATACTTAAAGAACAGCTAATTTCTAACCCACAGTGCACCTATATATAAAACACACTTCACCGCCATGATTGAGAGGGTTCAAGTGATTAGAATAAAGAATGTCAAATTTTCATGGCTTATCTTAAGATAAGCAGAAAAAAAAAGTCCAATTTAATAAAATGACACATTAGAAAGGACATGGTATAAAAATATTGTGAGAAAATGCATACAAGATTCCAAAGATATTGACAGAGAATTACAAATGATACGCATATGCATGACATTGAAGCAAGAATTTCAGTCTCAGTGTTCCAAGAGTTCAATGTATTGATGCATATAGATTTATTTCGGTAGCTTCCATTTTGAACAACTCCTAAGTATTACAACATTAAAAACAAGTTTCCATACTACTTTTGTGCTGTCTGTGCATTCTGCACAATGATCAGTGAATTCTTTGTAGGATATTTAACAAAGATAGATCTAGAAAGAAAGAATGGTGACATTAAATATGGAAACGTAAGAAGATAGGAGAAAAGAGCATTTTGTCCACAAAATATTGGAAGAGTAGGAATGACTGTTCTTTCTCTCACGAAGTCAATTTTCATAGTCTGAATAGTCTGCATAAGCCTTGTCACTGCTAAATCTTTTATTTGGATATTATCTTGATGCAAAATACTGCAAAAGATGGCGCCTTTCTCATTACAGTTTTGGTAATTTTGATACGCCTTTAGCCCAAATGATTACTAAAAATCACCCTTGAAATCAACGTACATGAATATTAAGTTTTTCAATCATTCGAGAAAAAAAAAATGGTCTTAAACTACACATCACTAGTTTTTACATACTGCTGCTTCACCAAGAAAATAATGTGAAATTATTAAACGAAAAGTCAAACCTATTCTCTTCCTATTCCTGCTTTCTCTTAAAATATAGTAATCAATAACCTTCAGAAAAAAAAATTCAAATTTCTTAATAAAAGGCTATGATACATCAGAATAATACAATCGAAAACCTCAATGAGCCAACTCCAAAATGAAGAAAAGAAAGAGCTTGTTTAACACAGTTGGGATATAGGGGAGTTGTACCTCTGGGAGCTCTTGAATGTAAGAATAATATTTCACAACAGTACTTGGAAACCAGTAACTTTAGATTACTGGATCAAGGGCACAAACAATAAATCCAAAGTGAAGGAACCGTGACCAAGAAAAAAGGTAAGGATATTTAGAATATCGTGATATAACGAAGCTATAGTAAATCGAGAATTGGAACAGAAAAAGCATAAAATTCTTCTCTCAACTAAAATATAATGTAATGATCACTAGCACATGTGCTTTCCAGATACCACCAGAAACATTAGCTTAAAGTCACTTGTTGTGCTAACCAAAAAAAAACTAAAAGGAAATCGTAATTCATGAAATATTGATAATTAAGAATTCAAGCTCTTTACAACACAGAGCTAAAAACTACTGCCCCACGGCATATGAGATGTAACATAGTTGATATCAATCCATCAAAAATTTACAAAAAACTTCAGACTTGTTAAATAAAATAAATAAATAAATAGCAAATCCTGACTCACCCGTGTAAAAAATGCATCTTTATAATACAAAGAATTAGATTCGAACTGGGACAATCTCAACTTTGCATTCATAATTCCAAAATTTCACTGTGCAAAATGTGTTTCTGATATTTGAAGTACGAAATGGGAGTTAATGATACATACCTTATGACAGTAACAACCTTCCCAACACGCAGTGCTCTAGCCTTGATCTTAATCTCCGGCAAACCCACCCACCAGCGCGACAGTGGCACCAACGTGCGTTCTCTGAAACAAAATCCAACAAAAGAATGAAGGTAACAGGAAACATATACTAGAGATTTAAGATTACCGATTAGAATTACCTTTGATTGGCCACGGAAGAGGATTTAGGGTTCTTAAAATTTTGAAATAGAGAAGAAGGTACCGTGGGTTGAAATTAGGTTGGCATTATCTTGGTCTGAATATAATTTTGGATTTTCCAACTTTTAAAATCTGTATAACTAAAACAGAAATTTGAATTGGAAAATTTATATAATATCGATCAGATTGAAAAACAGATTTAATTAAATGGATCCTTAACCCATCAAACTAGTTTAAAAGTGGATTAAAAACAGGTTTGCCCACTCTTGATAATTTCTATTCATGAGAAAGCAAAGCAAGGAATGAAATGTAAATATTGGGAAAAAGTATTAATGGGTGGAATTTGTCAAATGAATAGGAGGGTCTTCTAAGGATGGTGGAGCATCTACAGGAGAGAGAAAATCAATCTTGGATGTGATTTAATGATATATGTCAAGAATTATATTTTTTAATTACCGTGGAAAGGATTGATGAGTACGATAATTTTCTTTTTATATAAAAGATTTCAACGGATAGTTTATTTGTATTAAACATTTATGAATTTATTATAGTTATTTTATGTATGTATATTATATAATTTATACTTATTTTATGAATTATATGAGTTATTTTGATCATTTATATTATTTTTAATGATTACAAATATAATTTTTCATCTACTTAAATGTTATTCTCTTTGTCTGTAGAATGTGATAGATTTTAGTGTTGAATTATTAGATAATTTTAAATTGTGGATGCTTAATGTGATTTTGTTCAACAAAGTTCTAATTAATTATCTTGTCACTTATTCTGATTTAATCTAGTAAAAAAAGGATGCCCTCAACGTGGTTATTATGTAATTTTTTTGGTTTCTTTAGCCTTTCAATTTCCATATACTAGGGGAATTATTCTGTTTAATTTTGCATATGTATTTTTTAAGTAAGTAAAATGGTTACTACAATGTCATTATTGATTGACGACATTATGCTATTCTTAGGAATTTCTACTGGTGAAGAAATTAATTCAATAACATTAATTTATTGAAACACTAAAAATCTTTATATTCTTTAGGTCCTAGTAATTGATGGTTCTAATATGTTCCTTTTCTATTGATACGTGAGAGGAAACCACCTTTACCAAATGCGGGAATCAATCCAAAACTTGTATTTGTAATAGGAGGTATGTGTGTGTAAGCAATGAATTTTGTCATCACTATAATTTTCTTACAAAATATAATCTGTCATTTGTGTGAACCAAATTGATGCAAGCCCCAAGCATATTACATGCACTCCAACAAAATCATTCTCTTCTCTCCCCATTGTTGTATTACTCACATCCTCACATAAATGCTCCTAAAGTTTATTGCCATTGTTTTCTACTAGTATTTGAAGTATAAGATAAACTAAGTGCAAGAAGCCAAGAGAATGAACATTCTTAATAATATATTATTTACTTTGATGGGTTCGGATCAGAATGTCAATTTTTTCTGTTATTCTTTGTTAATCAACATACATTTTTGAACTTATATGTCGAGGGAATTAAATAATGATTTACTTTGAAATTCTCTCTCTAGAAAATTTTCAAACCATGACAAAGAGTAATAATAAGTACAACATAACTATGAGTGTACATTAAATCATCTTTGGATATGTTGATATTTATTTTATACAAATATCCAAAATTGGAGCAATTTCTTCATTTTTTTTCATGTTTTCTTTTCATGCAATGTTTGGTTTAATTTCTTGTAGTTTTGACTATTTAATATTCTTGGATTTATCTTTAAGGTACCATGAAACTTTAACCAAATTATTTTCATATCTCACTAAGTTCAACTTATTTGTAGTTACATTAATACACTTCAAAATATCCAAAGAATATTTATGCAACTATAAAGTTGTTTTCATCCTATTTTTGTATCACATACTCAATAAACTCAATTATAACAAATCTTAATTAAAATATTATTTTAAAGTACAAAAATCAATTAAAAATTCAATATTAAAGGCTAAATGAGGGCATATGCTTAAATGATTAATAGTCATACATCATGTTTTTCATGACAGAAGGAAGTCTAGTAAATGAAAATGTCAAAGTCTTAACATCAGATGCGTTTAAGAATTAGACGAATTAAGGTGTTAGATGAGTCTAACGAGTAATAATCATCAGGCTAAAGCATTAGACGACCTAAGTCTCTAGACAACCTAAGTCATTGTGTTAGACGACTACGGTGTTAGATGATCCAAAGGGTTAGACGATTCAAGACAACTTAAGCTGTTAAAGAACCAAGATGTGAGAATGTTTAGCCAAGAGCATCGTGGATAGGCTAGAAAAGCTCCAAAAATTTATCTTCCCTATATCTACTTATAATCTGTAAATGACTCAGAAAAGAATAAGGTGAATAAAAATACCTTCTGCTTTAACATGGTATCAGAGCATAATCTTGGGACCCAAATAGTTCTAAATAGGTGGTTGGTTCATCTAAAATGGGTGATTCTTCAGCGACTGGCGATTCCACAGAGCCATCAAACGCTTCCGCTGCTGAGTCCATTTGGGAAAATCTTACGGAAAAAATAGTAGAGGTTTTATCGAAAGCTCAGCCAACATCACAATCGTCAGTCTCTAATTCCTCAATGGTACCGATCAACATCAAGTTGGATGGCTCCAACTATGCCCTATGGTCCCAGGAGGCTGAGATGTACATCTCGGGCAAAGACAAACTAGGATATATTGATGGATATTTTCCTCCGCCTTCCGAAACTGATTCAGCATTCCGTAAATGGCGAACTGAGAACGCTATAGTGAAACGGTTGTTGATCAACTCAATGGATCCCTCGTTGGTGGGGAATTTCATTTGTTTTCCAATCGCCAAAGAGGTTTGGGATGCCATTGCCACGACATACTTTGATGGATCTGATACGTTGCAGGTTTATGACCTTTGACATAAGGTAACTCGGATGCGACAGAAAATAGGATTGATTGAAAAATATTATAATGATCTACAAGGGATGTGGCGTGAGATAGATTTTCGACATCCTAATCCCATGGAGTGCGCGAGAGATATATAGAAATACAATGCTTTGTTATAGGAAAAAAGAGTTTATATCTTTCTCGATGGATTGGATGACCGGCTTGATAACATTCGAAGTGACATACTCCAATTGAAGCCATTTCCCACAATCGAACAAGTTTATGCATATGTTTGAAGAGAGGAAACTCGTCAGATTGTGATAACATCTAGAACAGAGAATATAACAAGTGGTGCGGTTATGGTCACTAAAGGCTCAAAAGTTGGTCAATAGCCAACACTAGTGGCTGGGAAACACAACTATGTCTTGAAATCAAAGGGTTCATTCGATGGAGGAAAGTGCACACATTGTGGAAATGCCAGACACACTCGTGATACTTGTTTCAAGTTACATGGGTATCTAGAATGGTGGCATGAGTTGCAAGCTAAGAAGAAAAAAAGAAACCGCTCCACATGAGGAAGGCACTAGTAAAGTTGTGGTAGTAATTACCGAGTCTCGATTCTTGCTTGTTCCTATGACTAGTTCCTCTGCCTCAATGGAACTAGGTAATTGTGGTCAAGTTTTTTGTAGTTCTAATTCTTAAGATGCAAGTGCATGGATTATTAACTCTAGGGCAACAGAGCATATGACTTTTGATCCCATGGATTTCTCCCATTCAACCCTACCACGTAGGACTTGTATCACGTGCACCACCAGTTCAGTGGCAAAGAAAGGGAAATATGGTTGTGGCATCGTCGTTTGGGATAAAAATAGTGTTCCTTTTGCTCTAATGCATTATGATGTATGGGGACCTTCCCCTAGGACTACCGTATCTGGTCACTGTTGGTTTGTAATATTTGTCAATGATTGCACACGAATGAGATGACTTTACTTGATGAAGACTAAAGATGAAGTGTTTCAAATATTTCATAATTTTCATGTCATGATTTAAAATCAGTTTTCAGCCAAGATTCAAGTTCTTTAGTGAGACAATGGAGGGGAGTTTGTTAACCATCACTTCAAAGCATACTTCCAACAACATGGTCTTCTTCACAAGACCTCATGCTTGCAAACTCCATAACAAAATGGTGTTGTCGAACGAAAAAATCGTCATATATTGGAGACATCACGTGTTCATCTTCTTGACACCCATGTTCCAACTCACCATTGGGATGATGCGGTAACTACAGTGGTATACCTTCTTAACTACATGCCCTCCAAAGTCTTGCAGTTTAAAACACCTCTACAAGTACTCTCCTCTCATGTACAATTACCTACCATGTTGATGCTTCGGTCTAGGATTTTTGGGTGTGTGGTTTTTGTTCAACTTCAGAAAAACCAACGAACCAAACTTGATCCATGTGTTGTTAGGTGCTTGTTCTTAGGCTATGGACTGCATAAAAAAGGCTACAAATGCTTTAACCCTATCAACAATAGAACCTATATCACTATGGATGTAACTTATATTTACGTAAGGAATCACTAGATATGAAACTTCTAAGTGTTTTTTCAAAATGCAAAGAGATTCTTATACAATGATTTCTACAATGAATGCTTTAACCCTATCAACAATGATTTCTTCAAATCTTCAAGAGTATCATCATCAAAATCACTTCAAGACATCAATGTTCCTCATTGGTAACAAAAAGAACTTTGCGAACTATTATGGCTAAGAAGCTTACTAATGGATATTGGATTTAGACCTAACATGGAGATGAACCTTTTTTTTTATAATAAAGCTGCAATTGATATCTCACAAAATCCTATCCAAAATGATCGAACAAAACACGTGGATGTAGATAAACACTTTATCAAGAAGAATCTTGAAAAGAAGATTATTCGGTTAACTTTTATCCAGTCGAAAGACCAGTTGACAGATATTCTTAAAAAGGCGATGTCCGGTAAGAACTTCCATGACTCCCTTGACAAGTTAGGCATGAAAGACAGTTATGCAAAATAAAAAAAATTTTGGGTGTTGTAATACTTTGGTTCTACCTATTGACTCTTGAACTACTAAATTAATTATAATACACAGATTACAAGTCTTTAACAACTAAGTTATTGAGTCTTCAAAGTATTTCTTGAAACTAAACACTTCTTTAATTCTTCAACATTTCTCCATGAAACATCATGTTCAAAATCTTTTATTGAAGCAAGATGTCCATCTTCTTCGTTTTGCTAACAATTTTGGTTAAAAAGTGA